TTAATGAGTTTTAAGGCATAAAATAGATAAACACTGTAAAATAAAATAAAATATAATGTTTTACCTCAAAATTTATAAAAAATTATCAATTTGATATAAAAATTTGTAAAGAATTATCAATCTGATATGAAAATTTATATAAAAATTAATTAATTTGTATAAAATTAATCAATCTGATATGGAAATTTGTTTTACCTTAATGAGTTTTAAGGCATAAAATAGATAAACACTTAACAATAAGCTTGGGGAAGAAAATAAAGAAAAGAACCGAATTCAAGCGGTTATTCTAGGGGAAAAAAGCAAAAAAGAAAACAAAACAAAAGTAAAAAAAGGAGTATCGTTTTTTTTCCGTCATTAGTCAACACGTGTGTGAACCGGGGCTTACCGGTTTCCGGTTCCTCGCTCACTCACTTGGGCCCCACCATCTTCTCCCTCTCCCCTCATCACCTCCTTCGCCACCACCACCCTTCCATTTTTATTTTGAAATCATTTCTCATATTCATGGAATCATCATTTTAATTTTTATTAAAAAAACCCTAAATTATTTATTCACAAGAATCAGAAACTTAAAACTCTTATAATAAAATATCAATTTAAATGTTATTTTGATAGAGTGATTTGAAATTAATTATTAAATATTTTATTTAATTTAATAAATAAAAATATTTAAATTATTAATTATAATAATTATCAATTATTATATTAAATAAAATTATTAACTACTTAACCGTTTCGTCCCTTAATCAGACAAAAAAAATTTTCCCGTTTAAGTCTCAAGAGTTTACGTTTCAAACTAAACAACCATTTTTAACTCTTCTTAATGTTATATTTTAATTTATAATTTAATACCATTTAAAGTATTTAATTAACTAAAAAAAAGCTGGACTAGTTTTTTAAAAAGAAAAATTAAAAATAAAAACAATAAAAAAATGAAGAGAGAGGATGAAAGGGCAAGGAGGAGGGAGGGAGAAAGAGGTTTAAGAGAGATAAAGGGAAAGCTCTGAGAGCTTCCTATGCTCGCCCTAAGCTCCCCCTTCCTCTGATTTGCAGAGAAAATCCAAAGGAAAAAACAAACAGGCACAGCCTATAGAATTTTAAACCTCATCAAGAACGCGAAGAACAGAAACAGCATAGAAAGAGAGAGAACAGAATTTTTTTTTTTCGTCCTTTCAATTTTTTTAAATATTCCATCATTTTCCGCTTATCCAATCAGTAAGTCCCTCCTGCCTTATTATTTTTTTTTCTTTCCCCTCTCTCTCCCTTTCACTTCTTTCTTTGTTTTTTTTTTCTCTGCTCATTAGTTTATATATATCTGCAATCAGATCTACTAATTTCCATTTCTTGAATCTGAAGTTCTGAGATCTGGAATTTATGTTTTCCGCCTTGTTTGATCGTTATTTCTTGTTTCGATTCTCCTCATATGATGATTTTTTCTTAGGTCTGTTAATGGTGTTTAAAATTGTCTTCTTTTTTTTTTTTTTAAGTTTTCTGAAGCTCAAACTTGGATCGTCGTTTTTCTGTGATTCAGATCGGTCGGCGGCGTTAATGGTCGCCGGCGATTATTGTTTATTGTAATTATCTAGTTATGTTTAGTGTTTTACGTTTTTTCTTTTTTCTAACAATTAAAGTCGGTATAGATTCGCTTCAGTTTTTCCTTTTTTTTTTTTTTTTTTTTTCTTTTTCTTGAATTGAAAATATCGAATACTGTAATAAAAACTGCCATTTATTTATTTATTTATTTTTTGTCTGAATAGGTTGATTTTTGGGCATTTGGATTTTTCTTGAATATTAACGCATCTGGATCGAAGGGGGTCTGAAAATTGTTCCGCTGAATTGGTGTATAGTCATGTTGGAGAATCGGTCTGGTGAGTTCTATCTGGTTTCTAGAGTGTTCGCGGCCTCTTGCCCGCCGGAGACCAAGTGGCCTTACATGAGGTGCAAGCGCCCGCAATTTGATGACTCCCATGATTCTCCACAAACCAAGGCATCCAGGCTCTCAGATTCCAGTGAAAGCCCGCAGGATTTGGTTAAACAATCTTCTGGCGATGATACCCAGCTCATGGATTCTGGTGCAACCTTGCCGGATTCCGTTGAGAAATCGGATACGGAAGGTGGGGATGACAAACTTCCTCATTTGTCGCAGGATATTGAGCAGTCTGAGAAAATTGAGAGTGAATCCGATGACTGTTTACAGAGTAGGTCCTCTGAGCTCACTGATTCTGGGGAAACCCTGAGAGAACGCGGTGATCGATACAATGATGATGGTAACCAGATTTTGGGTTCTGATGGGTCACTGTCAGGTTCCCACGAGCAACCGCCTGATGATGATGGCGTTGATGATAACGAGCTCCCGGATTCTCCAAGGGAACCAAATGAACCATCGGATGTTGGTGGTAGCCAAGGTCAAGGCGGCAATTCCTCAGAGTTGGATTCCCTTATTCATCCTATTGGGAGAGACAACTCCATCAGCTGTCTGATTAAGTGTTCAAGGTCTGACTACGGTTCCATTGCATCTCTGAATAGGGGTTTTCGTAACTTAATTCGGAGTGGGGAGATCTATAAGCTGAGGAGGAAAAATCATGTGATAGAGCACTGGGTTTATTTTTCTTGTAACCTGCTTCAATGGGAGGCCTTTGATCCATTTCGCAACCGATGGATGCATCTGCCACAGATGCCTCGTAATGATTGCTTTACTTTCTCAGATAAAGAATCTTTGGCTGTGGGCACTGAGTTGCTCGTCTTTGGTAAGGAAGTGACATCCCAAGTCATATATAGATACAGTCTCTTGAATAATTCCTGGTCTCCAGGGCCTAGAATGATTGTTCCTAGGTGCTTGTTTGGATCTGCTAGTCTTGGGGAAATTGCAATTTTGGCTGGTGGTTGTGATTCTCAGGGAAATATCCTGAGTTCTGCAGAAATGTATAATTCTGAGACCCAAGAATGGAAGCAACTCCCGAATATGAATAACCCAAGGAAGATGTGTTCTGGGGTATTCATGGATAGGAAATTTTATGTAATTGGGGGGATTGGAGGAAACGATCCAAGGGTTCTCACATGTGGTGAGGAGTATGATTTAGATAAGAATACATGGACCGTAATTCCTAACATGTCTCCAGGCGAAGCCAGGGGGGATGAGATGCCTCCAGCTGCAGGGGCACCACCTTTGGTTGCTGTAGTAAATGATGAACTCTATGCAGCTGATTATGCTGGCATGGAGGTGAAGAAGTATAACAAGGAGGGAAGATCATGGTTTTCGGTGGGACAATTACCTGACAGAGCAGCTTCAATGAATGGTTGGGGTCTCGCATTCAGGGCATGTGGAGATCGCCTGATTGTGATTGGTGGACCTAGTGCAATAGGTGGAGGTTTTATAGAGGTTAATTCTTGGGTCCCTAGTGAAGGTCATCCACAATGGAACTTGCTAGCTACAAAGCAATCGGCAAATTTTGTGTATAATTGTGCTGTAATGGGATGCTGAAAGAGATGGATTTTGGTGGCCCCATGTGCAGTGGAATGGTATTTGCCACCATTGGGATATACAAGATTGTTGTGTCCTTCAACTCAGGATTCATGCTAATGGGTAATTTCCCCTACTTTTTCATAGCTTTTCCCTTTTTGACTGGGGAGGATGGGAAGGTGTTTCAGACTTCACTCAAGATTCAACAAAATGTTTTTATTAAAAGGTCTTGAGTTTTCTTTCTTTTTTCAAAGTTACATTCAAAGGTTGGTGTCATGTAGCACAGAAATAGGTTTAATAATTTGACGTACCAACACATTGGTAGGTTGGCATTAGAGTTTGTTGAAGCTTTTCTAAGAAAACAGAACTAGTCACATGGATTTCTTGATCCTTTAATTTTCTTGGCATTGTCTTTAAGGGAGGAAATAAGTTCTGGAGGTTGTTATCTTGGATGTTGGCTAATGTACTGATAACATTTATCATTACAATTGATGAGCAATATATTCCAGCAACTTTCTCCTGTACACTTGTTGAATTCTTTATTCTTTGCTGATTCATCTTTTGATATTGTTTCTTTATTTACTCAGATAACTTGTACTTAAGATAATCCTTCTTCTTTGGCATTGTTGCCTTACGTTACTCTGATGTTTGAGTTGTCTTTGACTACTCTGTTCTTTCAGTCAGTTGTTCCATAGAGCTTGTCAGAATGCTGATGTTAAATTGTGAATGGACAATGTTGACAATTAATATAGTATAAAAATATAATGAATATAATTTGGGTTGCTATTACATAGTTTCTAACTGAAAATGTTTGATCTGTTCTGAAAATTAACTAATTGATAATGTATACGTGGTTCATTTTATGAAGCTTAAGAGAAGATAGAAGTTCCTGTTAGGTGGATGATATTTCTCGTTTTTGCAAAACTTCAAAAATATTATATTTTGCAGCATATAGGATTCCTCATTCTGAATTCTCATTTCAAATTCAAAATGGTTGTGGTGTAACATGTATCATATATATTTGAAAGCAATAGCGTAAAGTTTTAAATGATAAATATGGACAACCGAACGTATTATTGTGCTCAGTGCTTTTACTTGCTTACCTCTCTTTTTGAGAAGAATGTAACTGTTGAAACTTGAAATCCCATTTTAGTTGGTTCTTTAGCATAGCTGAGGTATATAGTGCACTCCGGATTTCATAGAAGTACGTTTTCACATGATGGAAAGCCTTGATGGTTATGGTTCTGGAAACATGACTAGAAGCGTAGAAGTTTCTCTCTGTTTTGAATATGCAATATGCAACCATAAAAAAACTGGAAATCCTTGAAACAAAACTTGGTACATTGCCTTTCTGATGTTATTAGAAGCAGTTTGATGACCATCAAATCTCTGATAAGATTATCTCTCTCCAGGTTATGACTAGGCAAATGTATAATGTGCAGGGTAGCAGAAATGTGGTAGAAATTAGATGCTTCTTCTTCTTCTTCTTCTCTCTCCCTAGTTTTTGTTTCGATGATTTTGTTTAAATGGGTCTTTGGAAACTAGAAAACTTGTTGGAAGTTCTTCCAGAAAGATATGGAGTATCAAATTTTACATTTCCTTTATAGTTTACTAAGTCTATATTAATATTGTGTATAGCCATGGTGCAGGTGGGAGCGAGGAGAAAAGAGACAGTGAGAGGGAGAAATAGAGAAACAGATACAGGGATTGGAAATTAAAGAAAAAAAAAGAGGGAAATAGGAGTCAGAGAAGGGAGTCTGGAATAAGGACGAGAAAAGCATAGTATGTATAATTCTTTTAAGGATTACTCTAGATTTCATTAAGCCATTTAATGCGTAAACTTTGGCTGGCTTCTATCTTCATGTTAAATTTGCTAATACTAAAATCAATTAGTGTTCGTGTTCATAAAAAAAAAAAAAAAAAAATCAATCAATTGGCGTTTAGTTAGCCTATCATTTTTTCTCTCTTCTTTGCAGCTTTAGGCTTATTGGTGAGGATTTTTATCTTATTTCTCTATTATGAATGATTTTCTTCACGGCAAAACCATTTCTTAAGCTCCTCAAATTTCCCATTTTTGCTGATAAACCCTTGAACTAGAAAGTAAACAAATAAGCATTCAACTTGGGATGTTGCAACAAATTAGCCCTATAATTACAATACCATGTCATATTGTTGTGTCGTTATATGTAATTGACTCTTTTCATTCATGGATTTACTCATAAAATTATATATATATATATCTATCTATTTTATATTAATTACTTCATATTCATTTAATATCATATCATAATTATAAATTTATAATTTTACATGACATTATAATTATAACATTACCATTGAAATGAGATGCATGAAAAGAAAACAGCTAATTGTAACTCAGTCTTTAAATTAATCAATTTTCAATCAAATAAGTCGCTAAACTTTAACAAAATGTTAAAAACAAGTCTTTTTTTACTATTAACTTTCTTTTATTAACAAATTGAGTTTGACATTACTCTTTTAAATAAATTATGTTAATAAAATAAAAAAAAATCATAAATCTACAACACAACATTCAAGTATCAATTTCAGTATAAATTGACTAAAATGATTTTGATTTTCACATCAATACCCATAAATAAATAAAGAACAAACACTTTTTATTTTAACACTCTTATTAACAAATTATTATTTTGTAATTTGAATTAAAGGTAAAAAAACTTAAAGTTACAAATTTTAATAATTGAATTAGTAGGTGTTGATGGATGTGCTAAATCAAAAAGTGTAACAATTATTTTTAACAAATAAATATTCAAAAATAAGTGAAGCTAATGAATTTTGATAAGTTGAAAATTTTTCTATGGGGTTTTAAACTTTCAATTGAACAAAATAATAGAGTAGCTGAAACAAACTAGTAGCTTGCTAGGCACTAGATAGACAACTTGCCTGCCATAATCAAATGGTTGGAGGTCTTCAAAGACTAGTCCTCAAACTCATGCTTCAATAGACAATGAATTGTTGGTTGAGGATCGAAGAACTTCACCCCTTTGGTTTTTTTTTTTTTTTTTCCTCTACTCTGGTATAGAGTGAAAATAAGCTTTCGAGCTTTTGAATTGCTTCACCACTTGCTACTTTGGTCCTCTTTCCTCGTCACTTGTTCTCTGCTTCTTCAACTATGCATCTCAGTAACTGGTATTTTCATAGGATTCTCTCTCCATTCTTTTTGGTTTGACCATCTGTAACTACACCAAACCAGAAGTCCTTCTTCAGTCCATATCTGCACTCCGGATTGACTTGCAAAGCCCCGAGGTGGGTCCTCAAGGTGGGTCCTCAAGGTAGACACTTCGATGCCTAAGTTAGCAATAATCGGGGCTACCTTTAGAACAAAGAAGTAAGGAGCTTACGGTTGGTTCCAATTACCTTTGCACCGTGGCCCTTGGGGGGTATTTATAGGTTTCAATGAGGAACCCATGTGGCATGCCAAGCAAGATATTCGGGATCTGATATGTATCTCCAGACGACAAGATATTCGGGATCTGATGTGTATCTCCAGACGGTTATTTCGGGACCGGGAATTTGAGAGATATTCAGATGCAATGATGTCCATCGTGACTACTGTGCAGCTTTATGAAGGATCAGATACAGGCATGCCTACTGTTGTTGTCATGCAACTGCTTGAGCGGGAATCTTTGGATTTATCCTTCACTTCGGTCACAAAGAAATTACTGTCATTCATCTGAGGTTGAGCACCTTGGACCTGTCCTTACACTATTCCCCCCCCACCCCCGAAGTCATTCACTTGTGAATGATGTTGTTGGAGATAGTGGGGGAAGTGCATAAATAGAAATGAAAGGGGATATAAGTATGATAGATGAGGTATAGAAGTAAAAACAAAAATCTGTATCGCAAAGGTATGCATAGCCGTAGCTGTGGCCAATAGTGAAATACGTGATAGGGGGTCATGTTGGCCATGCCCAAAAATAAAGTAAAAGAGAATCGGATTGCTCGTGGCCGAGGCCGTGGTAAAAGAATGACCGGAGTCAATATAGGAAAGTAGTAACATAGTAAAAATGAATGATTGGAGTCATCGTGACTAGAGTCATAGCAAAATATGTGAGACGGGGTCACTGTGGCGGTAGTCAAAGTGAAACGTGTGACACTGGGTCACTAAGGCCGGAGCCGAAGTAAAACATGTGGCATTGGGTCACTTGGGCCGGAGTCAAAGTAAAACATGTGACACTGGGTCACTGGGGCCGAAGCCGAAGTAAAACATGTGACACTGGGTCACTGGGCCCGGAGCCGAAGAAAAATACTTGTGCAAAATTAAAAATGGATGAAAGTGAGCAAAAGTGTTGAAATGGGCTTAAGTGGGCTCGTCTGAGAAGTCTGACAAAGAGGCGGCACGTGACGCGACAGCTGTCCTCTAAAAGACGTGCGTAATAACTGCCGCTGTAAAAAAGATTACTGCAATGGTCTAACGGGTATGTTTAAGAAACGAACCGTCGAGTTCGAAACGGTGCCGTTTGGGGTTAACCGGCGAATTCGAAACGGTGTCTCTGCAGCCGTTAGATGGGGTTAATCACGGCTGTTGAGGCACATTTTGCCTTTGGTATAAAAGGCTAGACTTTTGGAAAGAGGGGCTTTTACTTTCGCGATTTTGCTTCCAAATTCTTGCTAAATCTCTGCGGTTTCGTGCGGTCTGCGCTTTATTTGAGGCTTCAACAACAGTTTCCCAAGACCAAAATCAGGTAATGTTTATGAATTTTTTATTTTAATTTGGTCGAAGTGCTGTTCTCCTTTCTCCCTTTCTGTGTTTGATGTTGGGTTTTTTGGAGGAAATTAGGGTTGGGAGTGAGAATGCATTGAGTGTGTTAGAATTATTAAGGGTCTTGACGTCGTTCTTCCTCCCCCTTTATGCAGAAATTGAGATGTCTTCAGAAGAGGCCATGAGTGTAGTGGGAAGTGAGGTGATGCTCCTGGGGTATGGTAGCATGGATTCGGAGAGCAGTCCGTCTCCAACTAGTTCGGAGAGAACGGTGGAGGATATAAGGGGGCGAAGGGTAGTAGAAGTAGAAGAGGAGGAAGATGAAATCCCCTCAAACATTTTGGAGGCTGGAGGTGGTGTAGATGGGTGTTATGAGCCAGATTTAGAGATAGTGTCTGAGGTGAGGGGGTATGTGAGTGAGTTAGGTAGCAGGGATAGTCTGAGGGGCCTCGTGGGTAATTGTAACCTTCCTCACCACGTCTTAATTAGGCCTGCCGGGGTGAACGAGAGGGCATGCTCAACACCCTGGGACCATTGGATGCCCCTCTACATCCATTATTTGATTGCAGGGCTTAGGTTTCCCATTCCAAAATTACTGGTTAGGCTATTATTAGATTACAATATAGGAATAACCCAATTAACCCCAAATGCCATAAGGGTAATAATAGGCTTTCTTGTATATTGCAGAGTTCGGGGGGTGGGGGTCCCTACAATAAACATGTTTAAACATTTTTTTATAATTAAGGCTAGGGGTAAGGGGGAGAAGGGGTGGTATTACTTCAGTCCTCGATCGTCCAGCAAAGATAATAGGAATCTATTGTCTATTGGACCGTCATCCATCAAAGGATGGAAAGAAAAATTCTTCTTTGTGGATGACACCGAGTAGCATAGGAGGGATGCCGAAGTGGAACAGTTGTCTGCTTGGAAAGCTAAGAAAACCAAGCAAAACAACTATAAATTAAATGAGGATGAGGTGGAGGAGCTAGAAAAGATGGTGAGGGAGGAGGGGGACATAATGGATATCCTGTACCTCACCAGTCCGAAGGCAATAGAGGCTGTTGAGCTCTATGGGCCAAGCTCATTAAGCGAAGGTTTGTGTATGCTTATCTTGTGCCATTTTGGGTAGATTGTAGTTGGTGCGTTCTGACATTTGTGCTTGTGTTGCAGCTGAGATGGACGAGTTTATAAGTGCTGCTGGGGGGCTGCGCATCCCAAAGAAGCCAAGGAAGAGCTTATCTTGTGCCATTTTTTATGTCTGTTTGTTGTGTCTGTTTTAAGTAAATCACTTCGGATGAAATAAAGTGACTTTAATTGATACAAGGGGTTGACCTCGGACACAGTAAAATGAGCTGCAAGGGAATTGACTTCGGACCTCAAACATGTAGATAAGAAAAGATAAAGTAAAACACTTCAAAAGTATAACTGATTAACAAGATGATAACTCAGAAAATGAAGTGACTGAATGAATCAGAATGAACAGACTTCAGAAATAAGTGAAATCCACTTTCAACGTATAGAAGAGTACACAGAACTGAATTACTTCGAATATGAAGTGAAACTTATTAAAGAGATAAATGAATTGAGTTCAAATACACATTGGGTTGAGCGGAAGGAATGGAAGTAATAACGATTAAGACAAAATTCACTTAAATGAGGTATACTTAAGGGTAAAACTTTTTCAAGTTATTGACATTCCAGACTCTAGGAACCCGTTTGCCTGTGGTGTCCCGCATGATATAAGCACCTGGGTGCAGCACTTCGGCTATAGTGTAGGGGCCTTCCCAGTTTGGTGCCAACTTTCCAAATCGAGTTTCAAACCCCGTTAGACCAGCTTTCCTGAGAACAAGGTCTCCTACTTTGAATGTTCGGGGTCGAACTCGTTTGTTGTAGAAGTTTGTTATTTTCTGCTTGTAGACTAGAGTTCGAAGTCGTGCTTCTTCTCTGGCTTCATCAAGCAGATCAAGGTTCTCCCGAACCAGTTATCCATTTCGTCCTTCATCGAAATGGGTGACCCTGAAGCTTGGGACTCCTATCTCGATAGGAATGACTGCTTCGGTACCAAAGGCCAGATGATAGGGTGTTTCACCTATTTCAATTGATTATAACTTTAGAATGCACTTTACGCGTTATGTATATTCGTTCTAAGGTAAAGCCGTAGCAAAAGAAGGAAAACAATGTAAAGTTAATCAAATAGACCAGGTTTAAAGTAATACCTGTGGCAGTTCGGCTCGTGGTTCTGTATGCCCAGAGGACGTTGTTGAGCTCGTCTGCCCATTTGGCCTTGTGCTGTTCCAATCTCGGCTTTATACCTTCTAAGATGCATTTGTTAACAGATTTGACCATGCCGTTGGACTCCGGATGGTAAACTGAGGTGAACTGCAGTTTGATCCCGTAGCTGGAACAGAAATCCCGGAATGAAGAGCAATTGAATTGAGTTCCGTTGTCAGCTACAATCTGACTCGGGATCCCATATCTGCAAATAATCGAGCTAAAAACAAAGTCTTCGACCTTCTTGGAGGTAAGACTAGATAGTGCCCAAGCTTCAACCCATTTTGTGAAATAATCCACACCAACGATGAGATGGGTTACGCCTCCTATCCCTTTCATAAACGGGCCTAGAAGGTCAAGACCCCACTGAGCAAATGGCCAAGGTGCTACCAGAGTAGTGAGCTCTTCTACAGGCTGGTGGATTAGATGTGCGAAGAACTGACACTTCTAACACCTCTGTACGAACTAGATGGCATCCTTATACATGTTGGGCCAATAATAACCTTGTCTAAGGACTTTATGGGCCAAAGTTCGAGCACCTACGTGACTTTCGCAGACACCTTCATGCACCTCCCGAAGTGCGTATTCAGCCTCGTAAAGGGTTAGGCAACGGAGCAGAGGGAGTGAGAAAGATCTTTTGTAGAGGACATCATTAACAAGGGTGTACCGAGATGCCTTCTTCCTCAACCTCATCTCTTCCTGTTTATCCGTAGGCACTGTGCCGTCTCGTAGAAACGAGATAATTGGATCTGTCCAGCTCGATGAGCTAGGATCTGTGCTGACCTCCATCACTCGTGGCTTCAAGAAGCTAGGCTCGTCCAAAATGTCTACAAAGACCGATCTGGAGCTTTGGTTGCCATCAGAAGCAAACTTGGAGAGGGAGTCTGCTTGCTCATTTTCAGCTCGAGGTATTTTGCTTAAATGGAATTTCTGAAATTTGGATTTCAGTTCGGCCACCAGAGCTGCATACTTTACCATAACAGGATCAACCACTTCACAGACTGAGTTGACCTGATTGACTACTAGCTGTGAATCACTGTATATTTGTATCACTTCAACCTTTAGCTCTGTCGCTAGCTGTAAGCCAAGTAGCAGGGCTTCGTATTCGGCCATATTGTTGGTGGCATCAACATTAAATTTTAGAGCGTGTTCGCTTCGATACCCATCTGGGCCAAGTAGGAGTGCACCAGCGCCAGAACCTTTGTTACTTGACGCGCCATCAACATACAGAATCCAACTGTCCACCTCGGACTGGGAATCAGAGTGAGCCGAGGTACACTCTATTATGAAATCGGCAAGAGCCTGAGCTTGGATTACTGACCTCTACTGAAATGTGAGCTCGAACTCACCCAGTTCAACTGCCCATTTGATCAATCTCCCCAAACATTCTGGCTTCTGCAAAATTTGTCTGAGCTGCTGGTTCGTGAGGACTATGATTGGGTGTGATTGGAAGTACGGTCTCAGTTTCCTAGCTAAAGTGACAACTGTTAAGGCTACTTTCTCAGCAATGGAATATCTGACTTCAGCTCCGGAATATCTGACTTCAGCTCCATGTAACACACTACTGATGTAGTAAACTGGTTTCTGTTGCTTTCCCTCTTCCCTTACTAACATAGAACTGATAGCCTCATCTGATATGCCGAGGTACAAGTAAAGGATTTCTCCATCATCAGCCTTTGTCAGCAAGGGAGGTGAGCTAAGATAAGATTTCAGCTAGTCAAATGCAGCTTGACATTCTGAAGTCCATGTAAACTTTTTTTGCTTGCTAGATTCATCCTTCTAAGCTGCCAATCTCATGATCTTGAAGAACGGCAGGCATTTATCTGCTGATTTCGAAATGAATCTATGAAGGGCTGCTACTCTCCCTGTCAACCTCTGCACATCTTTTACTGACTTCGGAGGTTCCATTTCGGCTACTGCTTTGATCTTCTCAAGGTTGACCTCAATCCCCCTTCTGGACACCATGAAGCCCAGGAATTTTCCCGAATCCACACCGAAGATGCACTTTGCTGGATTTAACCTCATTCTGTTCCTTCTGAGGTTGTTGAATGTCTCCTCGAGGTCAGTTAAATGATCTTCAGCTTTCAAACTCTTCACCACTATGTCATCAACATAAACTTCCAGATTTCTGCCTATTTGAGCTTGGAATACGATGGTAACCATCTTCTGGTAAGTAGCACCAGCGTTTTTCAAGCCGAAGGGTATCATCACGTAGTAATAGATTTCATCGCCAGCATAGAACGATGTTTTCTCTTCGTCTTTTGGAGCCATTGGAACTTGGTGATATCCTGAATATGCATCCAAGAGACTCAATCTCTCATTTCCCGAAGCTGCCTCAACCAGCTTATCAATGTTTGGCATTGGGTAACAGTCCTTTTGACATGCATCGTTGAGGTTGGTGTAATCGATGCACATCCGCCATTTACCATTTGCTTTTTTCACCAGGACCGGATTGGTGACCCACTCACAGTAATCTACCCTTCTGACAAAGCCGGCTTGTAGGAGTTTTTCGACTTCTTCTTTAATAACCTTTAACCTCTCCCCCCCCAAAGAGGCGTCGCTTCTGGGCTACTGGTTTCTTGAGTGGATTGGTGCTGAGTTTATGTTGAGAAACTGAAGTGGGAATTCCCGGCATATCTGCTGAAGTCCATGCAAAAACATCTTTATTGGTCCAAAGAAAAGCTATTAGCTCTGCTCTTTTCTTCGGGTTCAATTTAGTCCCAATTTGCGTTTTCCGGCTCGGATCTCTGTCATCAATCTGTACCTCTTCCACATCTTCGAGTGGAGCAACTCTGGTTTCATCTTCTGGTCGGTTATCTACTATCTCAACACCCATAACTTGCCGATCATCAAGAACCCGTTTGGGATTAGTCTCGAGTGTCTGATCCTTGCCCTTCTAAGGTTGTGTTACCGAGGTGATATAGCAATGTCGGGCCACCTCCTGGTTGCCTCACAGCGTTGCTATTCCCATAGGAGTTGGGAATTTCATGCATAGGTGAGATTGGGAAACCACAGCTCGGATTTCAGTCAGTGTGGGTCGGCCAATGACGACGTTGAATGAGGACGCCATCTTGACTACCAAAAACCTAACTGAAAGGGTCACATAACTCTTGCCACTTCCAAATGCAACATTCATGGTGAGGACTCCTTCAACTGGGACTGGCTGGTTGTTGAATCCGTAGATGGGACCATCATACCGTTGCAACAAAGCCGGATCCAATCCAAGACTTTCAAAACAATGGAAATACATGATGTCTGGTGCACTCCCTGTGTCAACAAGGACGCGCTACACCTCACAATTGTTAATCGTGACAGAAGTGACTAAGGGGTCATTGTGAGGTGTGACAACTGTATCGAGATCAGCAGATGTGAAGCTAATTGAATGATTCTTCCACTCAGCATCGTCAAACTTTTGCTTCTGAGCTTGGTTCTGATGCTTAACCTCTCTGACATACAACTTTTGCTGCTTAGAGCTTAGTCCATCGGCTTTCAGGCCTCCCGTAATCATGTGTATGATTCTAGTTGGTGGTGGGAGTGGTGGTGGGGCTTGTTGATATCCCACACCTTGCTTGTTTGGGGGATTGCGGACTCCTTGATGCTATGGCCCTTATTCTCTAACAAACCTTGGCTGTTCTACTCTCTGGATGTACTCATTCAACATTCCTTTCTGAGCCAGACTTTCCAGCTCGGACCTTAGACTGTTGCATTACTCTGTTGTATGACCGTGATCTTGATGAAAATCACAATACCTAGCGCGATCTCTAGTAGTAGCAGCAATTCTCATTGGACCCGGACGCCTTAAGTCCATTTTATTCTTAATCTGCATAAAGATTTGTGACCTTGGCAAATTAAAAGGGGTCCAAGTAGCTGGAGGTTTACCTGCAGGTTGCTGTGGAGGTGCTAAGCTCGGCCTTCCGAACCTCGGGGTGGAAGTCGGCATCGGACCTCGGTTCTGTGTTGTCTTCATCCGTTTCCTATTCGGATTCTCATTTCCCCAATCCGGGTGTTGGTTCTTAATATGAGTTGGATTCTGCGACAGGGCATATTCCTCAGCAGTGATGACTTTTAGTGATCTATCATTTACCTCACTGAAGGTGGTGGCAGGATGTTTAAGCAGACTATCTCTGAATCTCTCATGGCTAAGACCTGAGATCACAGCTGTAATTCCCACAGCCTGGTCGAAGGAGTTAATCTCCAGTACTGCATCATTGAATCTGCTCATAAAATTCTTCAAAGACTCTCCGTCCCTCTGCCTAACTCGCATTAGTTCGGAGGTAGTTTTCCTGATCAACCTTCTACTGGAAAACTTTGTGGCAAAAGCAAATGTCATTTCTGTATAAGAGCTGATTGACCTCGAAGGTAGACTGTAGTACCAGGTTCGAGCATTACCTTGGAGAGTGGAGGGAAAGATTTTGCACATCAGCGCATCAGAGGCGTTCTGGGCTTGCATGCAAGAGTAAACAGCATGGAGATGATCATCGGGGTCCTTCGTCCCATCATAAGTTTCAAGTTGTGATATCCTGAAGCCGGCGGGGTAGGGTTCCAATGTAATGTTGGTGTTCAAAGGATGGGGTATGGAGTCAGCAGCATGATGTGGAGGTGGGGCACCTCGCTGTTCAGCCACTAGCTTTTCTAAGCTGTCTAGACGTCGAGTGACATCATCATGAAGGGGTTGCTGAACTGGTGCGATGTGAGATTGGCCTTGAGATTCACTAATAGCAGGAGTATGCTGAACTAGCTCAAGATTTTGTTGTGGAGCTGGGGGTTGTGGAGCAGGATTAAGTAGGTTGATGAGTGGATCACCAGGATTGTTTCGGGCCAATAGCTGAGACAGCACTAGCTGAAAGACACCAAACTGTTGTTGCATGGCAGCGAGTTGAGTTGCAACTACGTCCTGGTTAGCAGTAGAGGCTAAGTTGTGAGCCGAGTTGTGTGGTTGATTTTCATCTCCTCCTTCTGCATGGTCAACATGAGGGAGTGTATTCAGGATTGGGGGCGGGGGATGAGGTGGAAGGTTGCTGGGAACCTGACCTCATCCAAGAGGCTGAGATGAGTTTCCATCTTGGACTAACCTAATTTTAACCATGATGAGAGCAACAAGGGAGCTTTTAGTGCGAATTCCCACAGACGACGCCAAATGTAACTGCACCAAACCATAAGTCCTTCTTCAGTCCATATCTGCACTCCGGATTGACCTGCAAAGCCTCGAGGTGGGTCCTCGGGGTAGACACTCCGATGCCTAAGTCAACAATAATCGGGGCTACCTTTAGAACGAAGAAGCAAGAAGCTTAGGGTTGGTTCCAATTACCTTTGCACCGTGGCCCTTGGGGGGTATTTATAGGTTTCAATGAGGAACCCACGTGGCATGCCAAGCAAGATATTTGGGATCTGATGTGTATCTCCAGACGGTTATTTCGGGACTGGGAATTTGAGAGATATTCAAATGCAAGGATGTCCATCGTGACTGCTGTACAGCTTTATGAAGGATCAGATACAGGCATGCCTACTGTTGTTGTCATGCAACTGCTTGAGAGGAAATCTTTGGATTTATCTTTCACTTCGGTCACAAAGAAATTACTGTCGTTCATCCGAGGTTGAGCACCTCAGACCTGTCCTTACACCATCTTTCCATTCTATTAAATTTCAAACATTTTTCTTGCAATTTAATGTGATTTTAGTTAAATTAAACCGAAATTGATACCTAGGTAATGTAGATCTTTGGTTTTCTAATTGATTAACATGATTTATTGGATAATCAATGTCAAACTCAATGGATAGTGAAAAATTAGATGTTCAAGGTAGAAACATGTTATCTTTAATATTTTGTTAAAGTTTAAGGACTTATTTTGTTTCATTGATTAATTTAAAGACTAAGTTACAGTTAGTCATTTTTAACGCATCCCCTTTTTTTAGCCTACAGTAACGGTGAAATCTAACTACAAAAGTTAATAATGAAGGGCTAATTTGCTGCAATATCTAAGTTGGAGGGTTTATTTGCCAATTTTTTATTTGGAGGCCCATCGGCTAAAATGGGTAAGTTGAGGGACTTAAGAAAGGTAAAATCTCCAAATCCACCTTTCAGACAAGAGGTAGAGACATTAACTTTTTTAAAAAATATAAGGACAAATTGTCTTTTTAAATGATTAATAAAGATCACCTTTTATTTAATGTGTAATGTTATTACACATTAGTTTTTTGTAAAAAAAATATTTAAATGAAAAACAAATTTTTGACGTGCAATAATGTTTTATATTAAATAATAAGATATTTATTTTGATTGATAATTTAAAGAGACAATTTACTCTTTTTTTTTTTTAAGTAAATTTGTCTCTACCACTCAATTCTATTTGAGTGGGGAATTTGGAATTCTACCCATAAGAAATGCCTTCGCCTTTCTTCAATTACAATGTCCAACAAAAAGTGCGCAGATGATTTTTTTTTTTTTTATCAAAAAAATCGTCTGAGCACTTTTAATAAAAAAAATCACTACAAGAAATGAGATTTTTAGTGATAAAAAATTGTGATGAATGTTGAAATTAACACTATAATTCATTATATTTATGACAAAATTTAAAAATTAGTCATACATATAAGTATATTTAATAATGATAAAAAAATTCATTATTATAAAGATATTTCGTCACTAAAAAATGATCACAAATAAAAAACAAGTTTGTAACAATAAAAATCATCACTATAACTCATCTCAATTAAGACAAATTTTAAATATTGATCATATATACTTTACACATTCAATGATGACGATATAATTCATCACTAAAAATATATTTTGTCACAAAAAATTGTCACAACAAGAACACATACTTGTGATGATAAAAATCATCACTATAATTCAACCTTATTTAAGTTTTTTCTAATCAATGCATCCCACATTAGTAAAAAATACATAAAAAATAAAGTTTTACGCTATAAATATATCCCACATTGGTGAAAATTTTTTAAGAAAATATAAATTTGCACTATAAAACTAAGGTTAAACCCCTATTTTGGTCCCTGAACTATTGTACGGACCCCCGATTTGGTCCCTGAACTAAAAAAATCCCTAATTTGGTCCTTGAACTATTGTACGGACCCTGAGTTGGTCCCTAAACTATTGTACGGACTCCCAAGTTAGTCCCTAAACTATTGTATGGATGCCCAATTTGGTCCCTACTATTTACCAATTTAACCCCAACTTGGTCCTTCTGTTAAATAATAGTTCATGGACCAAATTAGGGCAAAATTGTAAACAGTAAGGACCAAATTGGGAGTCTGTACAATAGTTCAAGGACCAACTTAGGCCAAATTATAAATAGTGGGGACCAAATCGGGGGTCCGTACAATAGTTTAAGGACCAAATCAGGGATTTCTTTAGTTCAGGGACCAAATTGGGGGTCCGTACAATAGTTCAGGGACCAAAATAGGGATTTAACCTAAAACTAATGACTACTTGCAAACTAATTAATTGACACTTGTGCTTAATTTTATTCATTTCAATTATATTTGAGTAATCTAATGTGAAACTCAATAAAATTTGAGTTTAGTTTGGGCCGATTAATTTTAATCAAACTTGATTAATTTTAATTAAAATTAATTAGTATTGAAATAATAATATTTTTTATTAAATATTTGTGGTAAATATATATATCAATTTTTTTTATAGAATTTTTGTTACAGTATTTGTATTGTAATTATATAAATATTTTTTGATTTAATATCGGTTTTAATAATTAATAACTAAATTTTTCATCACATTTGCATTTGTGGCTTTTTTTTGTTATTCAATTGTAACATTTGTGATGAAAATTATTGTAATAAAAAATATTTTTTTGTGATGAGTAAATTTATTGCCAATAATTTATTAATAATGTAGATTTCTTTTGTCATTATAAAATTCTTTTTTATTATGGGTGTTAAATTCATCACTAAAAACATTAATAACAAAGGTTTTACTAAAAGTTTAAATTTTATCACTAACTATAACGAAAAATAAATGTTTAATGATTGATAATTTAGGCATTAAATGTGAATTTTTTTTTTGTAGTGAATTACTCTGAGTAGAAGCACTCAGTACTGTGGCCACTCTACTAGGGTTTTCTCTAGCGTTAACGGCCACTCTAGCCATTTGTTGGAGTTTTATTAATTTCTTGTCCACCCAGAGATTTCTCGGTTGAAGGTGGTTCTTTGAGTTGAAGATTTTTCCCTTTCGTTAAAACAAGGGAAAGGGAAAACTCAAAATTTATTAATTTAATAAGTATATACTAATTAATAATTAATTTTAATATTTTATGATTTTCGATGCATGCGCGCAATCATGTACACAAAACCAGCCTCTACTTTTTCTTTTTCTTTTTTTTCCTTTTTCTTTTTTCTTTTTTCTCTTCTTGACTCCGGTTAAGGTCACTAATACAAAACCCACATTCATCAACGTAGCAGCATTTCGCCACATCGGTGACTAGACGTTTGATGTTGGAGTGCACGCCCTTTCCAATGTACTTCATATCGATAAAAGGTGCAATCACCAAAGTGCAACCGGCACTACGTTCAGACGTAAACCATATCAATGTTTTAAGAATTTGCCGACGTGGTTCCCGTTTGAACATTGAATAGAGTTAAAAATTTTTTTTTTATAAGAGTAATAATTAAAAAGTTAGTATAAATTAATTGTTACTAATTACGAATTCGATCCCCGAACTTAGTGAACATTTCACCTCTTAAATGAGACGCGTACTCATCAAATCGCTTTATGGTGAAATTCACGATGGTAACAGAGTTCGAAACTCTAATCACCTCACTCAAACACTTAAAAACTTGAGGTCGAACCATTAAGTTTAAAAGTCCGGTTCCATTGAATAGAGTTAATTAGTGTCACTTTTCTTGTGCGACAATACATAGACATGCTTTATGTTGGTGAATCAAGTTTTTACGCACATTTTTATACGTCAGCGACCTTTTTAAGGTGAAATCCAATTTCTAATAAGGTCAATGGGTGATCTTATTATCACATTTTATAGTGTTAATTTTATTTTAATTTTTTTTAACTTATTTAATTTATGAATATAATTGAAAGTTAGTATAAATGATGTTTTCAAAAATTTATGCCATATTTGATTTAGTTATTAAAAAATAATTAATACATCCTTTCTCCAATCAAATGAGTAAGGCATTTAAATTATAAATAATAATAACTTTTAATCATTATTTATACTATGAGTTATCAATTATAATTAACAACTAAACTAAGGCTTCATGTGACTTGCTTTCTACATATCTAATTTATATAATACTTTATCTAAAAATGTAAATTTATTATTTTTAATTAATCTTTTTATATATTTTTACTAATTTGAATTATTAGTTAAAATATATTTTGGATGATAAAGATAAAAAAAAAAAAAAAAACTCTATGACCATAATGCAATATTGTCAAATTAAGCCTAAATATGATTGAAAATGTAATAATTTAGTATAATATTAAAGTTTTGTTTGATTATACTTCTTATAAACTTTTTTCACACAACACCTATCTAAAAATATAAATTTATTGTTTGTAATTAATTTTTATATACTTTTACTAATCTTAATCAATATCTTATATATTTTTAAGATAATACTCTCTCTATCACAAAATAACTGTAATTTTTTACTTTAAATATATCTTAAATTAATTGTCATTTTTTTTAATTTTTTAAGGTAAACAAATATTTTTTTTCCTACTTTAACCCTATCATTATGTATTCATTTGAATTAATAATCCAATCACAAAAAAAGTATCTCATTAGCTTATACCTCTTTATCTTATATTTCTTTGCAAAATTTATAATTAGGGCACATGATGGACAAATAATCAAAGTAGTTGATTCCGTTTCGTACTAGGCTGGTACTTACCAATTTATTTATTAAGCCAAAACGATACAATATTCAATTTTGTTTCGGTCAAATTTCACTTAGTTCGGTCAAATTTCAATGTACTAGTTTATATTTTGCGTACCAACCGATATACCAAAACTTGGCCAATGCAAATCAATTCAAATTTAAAAAAAGTAAATTTCATTTTTGGTCCTCAACTTTAATGTTTTATATAATTTTCATCCTTTAATTTTTTTATATACTTTTTTAATCCATCAACTATGAAAAAAATATTTTTTTAGTCTTTCTATCAGTTACTCCGTTAAATTTGTCTAAATATGCAGATTTTTAGTCTTTTAACTTAAAGTAGATGATACATTTTTAGTCCTTTAACTTAAAGTAAAGGACACATTTTTAGTCCTTTAACTTAAAATGGAGGGATGAAAATATGCATACATTAGAAGTTAAGGAACTAAAAATCCCTTAAAATGTGTATTTTTAGTCTTTTTGACAATTTTAAATTCAAACTTCTAGTTCTCAATACTCACCGGTTGTTGC